CTCTGATTAGAATAAAACAAACAATCAATTGGATTTTATGCAAACATTAAAAAATGATAAAAAATGTGTGAAAAACATACACACAATCTTACATAAAGAATGAACAATAAATACGATACACACACAACATGTTAAATAAACATTGAAATAATAAATAATATTAAAAAAATACATTTCAACAACCACTAATAATATAATAAGAACTACAACAACAACATCGTATTGGAAAAATAAAATAATGATAATTCCAACAATACAATAAAAAAACCATGGATGGATGATCCGAAAAAAATCCATCTCGATTCCAACCAGAGTGTGGTGGCTTTGCCAGTCATTGAGCAATAAATAATACAATTAATAAACATTTTATTGCAATATAATTAATTTCAACGGCTATGAAAACAACAAGAAAAAAAGAAACACAACAACATAAGCCATTGTTATTACTTTTCAATGAATTCAAGCGTAAAGTGGAAAATAAAACGAAACAAAAATTAAGAAGAGATGATAAGGTAAGAATAGTTTCTTGTTTGAGAGCGAGTTTACTCTTGCAGAAAATGTGTGTTTAATCAATTAATCAAAAGAAAATGGACCTGGAAGTTATCGAAACTATGAATACCTAATTTTTTTGAGGGAATAAAAGGAAATGTCGATCAAATGAAAAGTCTCACATGGATGTCAGAATTACAATTAATATCCACTTAAACCTTAAATTCAAATGAAATCATTTTAGATGTTGCGACAGAAAGTATAGAAGAAGATTTTTTCCGCTATTTCCAAAATATTCCAAACACCTATATAAGTCGTGGATTTTTTAAATAATTTTTTTCAACACCTATATAAGGCGAGGATGTTTTAAATAATTATGGGAGGTTGTCCTCAAAAGTACACCAATATCGATCATTTTAGTAGTAGAGACTTGCCATTTCTATAATAATTTCTAAATTATTTTTTTATCCCATAATATTATACATATTGTGTTTTATATATAAAATATATGTCTATAGATTACCATTGTGGCCAATACTGATATCAAGGCCTTACATGTTTTTCCTTTATCAGTTTATATTGGTAATGCACAGCCCCATCAAATCCATTAATGAGGGTCCCATGAAAATAACGCATGTGCTTGCGTGTGTGCATGTTTATTTTTTGTATGAAAATAAATAAATATTTAAAATGCAATTCAATATAGATATGCAAGTATGTTTATATGGTTGTATGTAAACAATTGCTGCATTCAGTAGAACTCTGAGAGTTTTTTGTGGGTGGTCGTTGAATGTGGTGTTTATGAACTGACAATGGAGTTGGAACTTTGCCGAGTATGGGTTTCTGATGGTGATCATTTTACGCTGTCAATTTGTTTATATTTTGCGTTTTATATTTTTTGTTTGTGAAGTATAAAATTCTGCTGTTAATTTTCGCAAAGTTGAATTGTAATAATTAATACTTTTCTTCAAATAAACAAAACTATAACGTACACAAAGTATCCCTCCTTCAAGCATAAAATATGACTCCGAGGCAGAGAAGTGCAACAATGATTGTTGGATCCACATCATCACCATCATCAGCAACCACCCCCGCTAAAATTCACTCCATCACATTCAATGAAGCAAAGCGCCCACAAAAAAAAAACCGTTTCGACCGTCTGTCAATTGTCATTTATCTTCATAAGCAACCAGCATAGTTTTGTTGCACTACTTTTGTTGTATCTTCCTCATCGTCTATTGTCTGCCTTTCTTACGATCATGCCTTTGCTTTAGCTTTTGTAAAATGTTTTATCTTTTTATTTGGTTATTCGTTCTTTCATATATGGCTGACGGACTGACTTACTTAATAATAACTGTCCTCTATTTGCGTTGATGGCTGTGGTGGTGTGGATATATATTTTTGTCTGATGGTGGTGTCTGTCATGGCAAATTAACAATAAATATAAATATATGTTTGGGTTAAATACCCATCAAATTTATTATCATCATCATCATCGCCTTCGTCATCCATCGTCTCTGTATTGTTACTGACTGTCTCGGGGTCTCTTTGCGAAAAAAACACAAGCATGAACCATAACTAGATTAATATCTAAATTAAAAATGAAATTCCTGGTTCCAGAGTCCAAATGGGATCAAAAAAATAAATATGAAAAAAATGAAAGAACAATACACAACCTAGAAGAATGAAAGAAAGAAAAAAGAAGAACTAATATACAGTAGTGTTTGAATATAGTGAACTAATACATCTCTTCCCAGTATCCTGGTTACAATTAGGTTCAACGGAAGAATTTGTGAACAGATGTTTGCTTCTTACCCTCAGAATTTGGCTTAAGATTCGATTTTCACCTTGCTCAAAATCGAGGGTTCTCTACATCCACACGCCACTGCATTTGAAATATTGACCTAATAACAAATTATTATATATTTATATCCCTATCAATAATACAAAGCGATTATATTTTTCACAGGCTGGTGTAAACAACATAGCCCAAAAATTATACATTCCAGAATTTTATTTTCTCTGTTGCCAACAATTCAAATAATCGAATTTTTAGTTGAGTTTTCATTAGTCGTTAAAAGTCGAAAATCGATTTTGAACAGGTTTGACAAAATCGAAAGATCGAAAAGTCGACATTTTAGTCAAAGACAAGATCTATTAATAAGGTCACCAAGATAGCAATCGAAATCGGAAAACAGCTGTTTTTTCTCAAGTCTAATGTCAAAAATTTCGACTTTGTTTACGTTTTCATAATGGAAGTCAATTCACAATAATGCATTTTGACAGCAAACTTGAGAGGTATCGATAAACAGCTGGTCTCCCTTGGTGACCTTATTTATAGGCCATGGTCAAAGACAAAAAACGAAACGTTTACTAATCGAGCTTTTGGTTAAAAAGTCTAAAAGTCGAGTTTTACGCTCGACTACGTATCGCTAATCGAATGGCTGCCGATTATTAGACTACGAAGTGACTGATGCATTGTAACTGATGCATCGTAACTAGTTCATATATAAACAAGTAAAAACGTGGTTAATTTCGACCGGACCGAACTTTTTATACCCTCCATCATGAGGTGGACATTTTAAAAACCAATAATCATTCCGGACCTTCATAAATGACAGGCTATGCCATGGAATATTTTTGGTAGGAAGATTTGTCAAATTGGTGTCAATTGGATTAAAAAAATGTGCCCAAACTCCCCAAAATTCCGAATAATGGCGGGTATCGTTATATGGCGGCTATCCTCAAAAGTGGATCGATGTCTAAAAATTTTTGTAGGGAATTTTGCTTTCGAATGATAATTCAAAATACTAAATAATAGCTAATTCGATTGTAAAACTTGCTCAATCTCCCTAAAATACCGAATAATGGAGACATCCTTAGATGGGAGCTATCATAAAAAGTAGACCGATATCGATAATTTTTGGTAGGGAGATTTGGCACCCAATGGGAACTCAATTCGATTGATATCGTCACAAAAAATTCCAAAATTTCGAATATTTTGGGGTAATCCTATATAGGTCAGGGTTTATCTCTATGGCTGAATGTCGATATTCAATCCATTGACATTATTGCCGGTTAATCAATCTTCAATCTTTTTTATTCTACCAATGCCCTAACCTGAAACAATTTTCTACTTTTCTTATTAAACCTACCTCATATTAGAAAGGGGGAAAAGTAAGTGAAAAAAGTATATCTCTAATCGCATAATAATATGTGTGTAAGCATTCAAAGCATTCAACGAGAGTATGAAGAAAACCACGGCGTTCATTGTCTTTAGCCAACCACCATGGCAAATGGTAAAGCGTTAATGTTTAAAACAAAAATGAATCATTTGTTATGCGTTTAAACTTTTTTTGTTAATTCTGCTCTTGTTCCACGAAAATGAGCTTTTAAAATGATCGTAAAATATTAATGAATAAAAAATAGTAGATAATGAAGGTACCACCAAACGGAAGGAAGGAAACAAGTCAATGAAATGGGCGAAACATCAATGCCAGTATATAGAACAAATATTTTGATAGATAACAGTTTAGTTTTGTAAACAAATTTAAATGATGGGTGTATTTTTGTATTTTATTTAAATAATAATAGGGTCATTATCCTCTATCAAGTTTGGGTAGAACTAACTGCAGTGCGCCTAAAAGTTCACTACACTCTTATAAGCAATTGAAGAAAAAACTGAAGTTGTAGACCCCATTCCATTTGTTGTTGTCGTTTTTTATTAACAAAAGAGCCCATAAATTAATTTGATTTGTTTTCAGGTTAATAAAACTCAACAATTTTCACTTTCATTTTAACTTTTTGATATTCAGACACACTACACTCACTCTTCTTTCTTCTTGCGAAATGTGTGAAACAAAAACAAAGACAAACAATGGCAACTATAAACAAAAACATCAACGGTTGAGAGGCAGACAGACGGACGGACAGACATACAGAGGCGGTAGTGAAATATTGTGTAACAGAATATAATCGGACATGTGTGTTACAATGAACAGCCAACAACGGCCGATGTCTGGCTGATGAGCCTCTTCTTCTTTTGTTGATATGGTTCAGCAGAGCGAGCCAGCGGACTTACATGACAGCAGTAGTACAATAACACTTATTTTTAAGCGTTTTTTCTACGGCTTTTTACATTGGCAGGCAATAAGCTACCGGTTTTTTTTGGTTTCTTTTTTTGGCGTCTTTTGTGTAAATGGGCCAAAACATCAGCGTAATTTTTATTTCATAAACAATTTTTTGCAAAAAAAAAAAAAATTCAACAGTAGCTAGCTTGACACATTCACACATTTGAATTGCTGCTTCGGGGTGCAGCCAGCCCATGATTCACACAACACTAGATCAGTGTAAAAATAAAATGATGACTCACCACTACCCCCTTTAAGGGTTTCTCAGAAATCAATTGAACAGTTTTTGTTTTTTGATTAATTAATTGTTCGTTTTTTTTTTTATTTTAATAATAGCTTGCTTAATATTAATTCTCCTGTTTTTTCCATGTTTCTTTGCAGATTATTTACATCACTGCCAAAATATACACAACATTTATTAGTTTTATTATTTGGTACATTCCGTGTAATAGCCAGCAATGCTGCTCACGCTGGGACCGGCATGACCAGCGAAGCTTTGGGCGTCTCTGTTGCACCCAGTTTCTTTCAGTCATGTGTCAGTGATGGCAAGACCGCACGTATGGAAGATGTTTTAAAATTTAAGGTAATTAAAGCGAAACCGAACAGCAGCACCAATAGTTTCAAAAGTTCATTTCATTGATTTCACACCCACCCAACAGGTAGCCACAAAAATTATGAAATACATCATCGATAAATTTGCCACACATGATTTGTTTGGTCGTGAAAATTATGAATATTATGCCCGGGTAACGGGTCGCATATTGAAAGTGCAAGACGAATGGATATGCAGTTTTCAATATCCCCCGCCGCCACGCGGCAAATTGGCCCAACAGAAATATGCTTGTAAGTATTGTCGGAAATCATATCATAAAAGTTTTATAATCGATGTCTTTTTGTAATTTTTTCTAGTACAACATTCATTGGAAGCGGAAAAAACATGGTTACAGTGTCAATGCGAACGTTGGGGTTTACGTGAGTATTACTTAATCTCTATGTGTCTTTATATTTATGTATGTGCGTGCAAAGACAGTATACATTATTACATATTTATACGTTTTTTTTGTTTTGTTTACCAATCGGATGTCTTTTCTATTCTATATATATACGAGGCCATACCATTCCTATCGTTTTTGTGGTCAAAATTTTATCATTTCATTATTCTTGTTTTTGTAGATAGACTTATAGAATTGAAAACAAACCTCACAAGAATTACTAACTTTCTATAAAACCAAAATAACCCAAAAGATAGTCTGTGATTAATGCGAACAATAATCACTGAATCTTTTAGCTTGAAGCCTTTCGACCACCACCTATTAATCTCCATTAGTTTCTGTGTCAGAACTATCTATCGAACAAAATTGAATCATTTTATGTTTTCTCATCATTGACCATTGCCCGCCCATTAATCATAACATTTGGCTGAACATTCCCGAAATTGATTAGGAAAAACTTTTTTTTATTATTATTTTCTTTGAAATATAAAAATCTAAACCTTTAGAAACTCAACTTATATAGTTATAAGTTATTTTATATTGGTTTATGCATAGCCTAACTCTTAAACAACTATCTTAATATATCCTAAAATGTATGTGTTTTTTCTTGTTATTTCTTCTTCTTCTTCCACTCGAAAAAAATTGTCTCCAAAAACAAATCGAAAATAAAAAAATAATCCAACAAAATTTGTATATGCTGCGCGCTCTCTATCTCTTCTATCTTCTATCCATGTTATTTATCTTATAATAATTGCTGATGTTCGTTGTTATAATCACTCACACCATACCTACGCCTCACCCCACAGTTGCTCAAGAGGAATCTCGTTCAACACCCGCCTTGCTAACCAGTTCTAGCTCTGCTTTGGATAATAGTGTTGTATCACTTGGTGTAACACCCGAACATTCATTTATGGAATCTTGTGCTCGACTCTCTGTTTCTTTAGAGGGTCCTGGTCTATTTGCGATGACTTCTTCGCCATTGCCAAGCCGTAACAAACACGATTTTCAGCCAGACGATGAAGATGATGACATAGACGAGAACGAGTATCACGACGACGACGACGATGATGATGAAGACGACGACAACAATGGCGACAATGCCAACGGTGGCGGTAACAATGCCGAAGAGGACATCGCCAACGATTTAGACATTTCCTCCCACAATGATGATGAGAACATTGAAAATCAATCGAAAAATGCAAATTTCCACTTAACGTCCTCGTCCACCTCGACGTCGGCAGGTAGATCGCGGCGAACTCTGAAGTCACGATCGTCCTCAAACGATGCCGGAGGAGCAGCATCGGGCGATTATACATTCACCGACAGCCAGGACGATGTAGATGGCGATGAAATGATGCGTTGTGTGGTAAAGCGGCGTTACAAACAGAACAAAAAGAAATCGCCCAGCACTTCGAATACCGCCCAAATGCGTGGCGTCCAACAGCAAAGACGACTACGAACAATCACTAACAATTCCAAGAGTATAGACACCACACATTCTACGACGACGACAACGTCGGCGGCAACGACAACGACTTCGCAACATCATAACGAATATCTAAATGACTATGAATTTATTGGTAAATCTTCGACATCAACCTCCACGCTGAAGGCCCTGACCACCGACCCGTCACTGCTGACACAAAACATGCAGCAAAAGTCACGAGTTTGTTCACGATGCAAGCGAGGCATACGCCACTCGTCCTCGTGCTCCTCGTCGACGGCCTCGGGCGGTGGGGCTGCGGCCAATGGCACCGGTGGTGGCGGCAGTGGCATGACTATGGACGAGTTGAGAGCCGTCAATCGTTATGCTGAAAGTACAAAAAGTTTATCCTACTTGCCACAGGTGAGGGATGAATACTTGCTTGCTTCAAGGATTTCGGTATAAAGCTCATTTCCTTTTTTTATTTTGTTTTATTAACTCTCATTATTTAATTATTATTTCTTCCTTGAATAGTTTTAGTTCCCTTAGAATTTAATATACTACTACTTATCATATAAATACATACTATATTGTTTCAATTAAAAATAAAACAAAATGCAAATAGTGAGAGCTTTTTTAAAAAAAAAAACCAACCAACCAATCAATAAACAACAAAAACATTATTAATGCAATGCAATGTTTGTTAGAAGAGTAACTTGCGCATGTCTCCTTGTTGTCTGTCTGTAAATGTTTCCAGTTTATAGGTGGAACTAGCAAAAGCATGCTTAAACTGCAGTTCCCAATTAGCTTACTACCAACACTAGCTAACAACAACTATAGAAAAAAGCTCTTACATAGAATTTACAAAAAAACACAAATATTTTCTAACCGATTCCTAAATGAAGAAATTAAACTAAATTTGAATTTACTGCTTATAGGCAAATTAACCAAACAATCCCAGTCCATATTTAGTACGTATGTGTAAACAAAAAGAACTCAAATTAAATACATAAAATAAATATCTAAATTCGAATTCCAAACAAACATTCCCTGCCTTTGGCCTGGCCAGCATAAATAACAACAACATACATACATAATATTCACATTCACCACTTAAACTCAACATTCCTTGCTCATTATTTTTGAAATGAGTTTACTTCTATCATTATTTTCAAAATATGATATTCATTATTATTATTATTACTATCTTGAATTTTTAGTTTATTAATATGGGTTTTTATAGTGATTTTATTTGTTTTTGTTTTTTTCCTGTTTTCAAAACTGTGTTGTAAAATTTATAATGCCTTTTTGACATCGAACGAATTATAAATAAGAAACGAATTCTAATATTATTTGCAATTCAATGTAAATAATAATTAGTAACACTTATTATATAAAACAAACAAACAAAAAGAATGAAAGAGAAAATACCAGACTTAGATACGGCAGTAACAAACTCTGCTACTACATTCCACAATTGAAATCAAAAATCATGTTTTGATTTTCCAAAACAAAAGCTCACCTTAATGTAAAAATGTGTATATACTTAAAAACAAACATAGAATTCTTTATTTATTTGCAAATTGATTACCACTAATTAATTTAGCTTTAGATATGAAACTAATTTAAACAAAAATATTAAATATAATAATAATTTTATAATTTTAAGAATTTATTTCTTTTTTGTTTAAATAAAATTGTTCTTTTAATTTTTTACCCCCCAAAAATATGTTTTAATTTCTTTTTTTTTAGTTTTTTGTTTTAGTTGTATTATTTGGCTATTTTGATTTTGTTTAAATAAAATATCACTTTTTCCTGCTATTTCTAAATTATTAAAACCTTTACCTTTTGAATTAATCAATGAAATTGGCTGTTAAAACAAAAGTCTCGTCTATTGGACATTAAGGATAACGTCGCGTAAAAATAGAGAATATCTGTGGATTTTATGAAAGATATTGGGAATCCATTTTTAATGGCATATCAAGTGAGACTACTTCTATGTTATTGCATTCATTTGTCTCTACTTTTATTTGAATATACCTTTTGTATTCATTTTAGATTAGCACAGATGTCTTGATTTTTTATTTTTTATTCAATTTCGAATATATTTAATTTAGTTATTCATATTTATTTGTCAGTTTGTTAAGCCAACCAACAGTACTATGTTATTCGAATTGAAATCATTCATTTGTCATGCACATACCATATTTTCACTAATGTCCAAATTTTCACTAAAATCTTTCGATGAACCATTTTCATTTCATTAAAAATATATTTTGATCTAATTTCTGTTTGTTCCTTTTTTGTCCACAATGTTTGCAGCTGTGTTTCATTGTCCTTGTCTATATTTTGTTTATCCACCAGTTATTCTTCTTCACCTTCGTTGTTAATATTATTTTTTTTTAATCAAACAAGCAGCACACTACCACCACCTCCCACTCTCGCAACTATATATATATACTTTTTTTCTTAAAGATGAACTTTCTGAAAATTTGCATATGCTTCTTCTTCTTGATATGTTGTTTTCGTGCACTTTTTTGTAATCATTTCGTTTGGCTTTTAAAACAAATAACTAACTAACCAACCAACCGTTTAAACAAGTTTTGTACAATAATAAATCTTAACATTTTATTTATGTTTCTTTTTTTATTTTATGTTATTCTTTCGGTTGACAAAACATATTTTCCCGATCTTTTGTATGTCTTTTTTGAAAAACAAAATATCAATAAATATGAAAAACACAACCAACCAACATTTTCTACAACAACAACAACCAAAATTATAAAAAAATACTACTCTACTCCATGCTATGATAACAACGGATATGTTTTTCTTCCCACCTCTGTAAAACGTGATGTGCTTGGAAATTGTAAACATAACCCTTTCCAAAAATTAAAACCAAAACCAATCATTTCTTTTCTCTGACATCAACCAACAAAAAACAACAACACACCTTTCCAATAATAAAAAAAACACTCTAAATGAATGAATGACCGAAAACAACAACGAACAACAACAATGGTTGAATTTTTGATGCCTTCCCTAACACCCATAACAGGTCCATGAACGACAAACGGCACGCATGCGCACACGTTCCGAGTGGTTTTTGGGTCCAAAAGATGACGACGATGTTCTGTGCATGGCCAACAATACCTGCAGCAATTGCTATTTAACGGTACATGGTGGCGAACAAGAAATGACAGCATCTGGCAGTTATTTAGGTGGTGGCAGCACCAGAGATATGCGTCGTGTCGATCTGGTAGATGATCATAATCGTACGTCAGTAAGCTCTGGAGGCCCAGCACATGCTGAGGCTGTCAACACCTCTTTATATTTATATTATAAACAACAACAGCAGCAGGAACAACAACATCAACGTCATCATTTATTGCACCCTGGCCAAAGGCAAAGTTTTCATTTGGCTCCAGATTTTATGATGGACACCGATGATGCTTACTACTATGGAGGTGGCAGTTCGCATCCGAATCAAACTACCACAACAACCCAGGCAACAACACATTCCAGCAGCATGCAACAGCAACAGGCAGCACAACAGGCCATGGCAGCGGCCACGGCAGCAGGTCATCATCACCTAAAGCCTCACACAATGGCGGTGACTGGTGCAGGAGGAGGAGGAGGCGTTGGAGGCTTGTATTTGGATACAAATTATGGTATATATGATTTTGATGATACAGACATTTTAATTTCTCCCAATTCTACCACCACTACTACTTCAACATCCAACACCACCACCAATACTACTACCACTACTACTTCAGAAAATTATTACTACCATAACAACAACAATAATATTATCAATAATAATAACAAAGAGAACAATATTGACTGTACACTAAACCAACATTTAAATTTAATGCAAAAACCCACAGGCCACAACAACAACAACTACAATTACAACAAAAATAAAAACAATTACAGCAGGGATATGACTTCTTTAAAGTCTATGCCCAAACAGTCATCACCATCATCGGTATCATCATTATCATTATCACAGCAACAACAACAAAAACAACTGCATGTTTATTCTCCCAATAACAGCAACAACAACAATAATCATCACAATCAACGCCATATGTCTCAATATTATTCTACCGAATCCCTGTTAAGCAATCATAAATCATATTTAGATGTCAACAGTGGCACAGACCACGATGTTGATGAACTGCCATGCTGTTCAACATCGACTCTAGCATCAAAATTATCATATCACAGTCTTCGGGATGTCGAAAAACTTCCCAACAACGACAATGATGATAGTAATGATGATGATGAGTCGTCGTTGATGGCGTCTAGCAATGTCAATCTGACCAACACCACCCATAGCACCATCCATAACAACACCGCCAGTCCTTCCTTAGATGAGCATGACTATATGTTAGGTTCATCGTATCGCCACTCCACACCCATGGTGCAACAACGACGACGCCTACAACGCCAAACCCAAGGCCTTAGGCGTCAACGTTTAAACTCCAATTCGTCATCACTGTATCAGTCATTTAATGCCAGCCTGCAGGCTCCGATGGCTTCGGCCAACCGCGGTCATTTTGTTAGTGGCCGTAATTCAAGAAGTTCGTCTCATTACGAGACGCGTTCCTCATCATCAAGTCGTGCTGGTGGTGTCGGTGGTAATGGTGGTGGTGTTGGGAATGCTAGCAATGCAGGTGCTGTTAGCAGCAGTAGTTCTTCTAATAGTAATTTTGTTAGTATTGTATTTAATGTTTTAGATTTTTTGTTCTAAATTGTTTTAAAAAAATATGAATTTTCGACACAACAGTGTTTTAGGTGTATTTAAATTTGAATTATATTTTGTTTGTGTAATTGTGTTTTAATTTCATTATAATCAGTTTGTGTCTTTATAAAAAAAATCTAAAAACTAAAATTTGTGTGTATGTGTTTAATAGATTTAATTTATTTAAATATGGATTTTATATTAGTTTATTTATAAGTTGTTCTAGAATGTTGAAAATAAAATTGAACGAATTTGGTTCATTATTTTAAGTTTTTTTTTTTTTTTTTTTGCTATCATCACATAATTTTGCTTCGTATTTGTGAAACACCATTTCCAGCAGATGAAAAAAATGTGCACAAATGTAAAATCCTTGTAATTTTTTTAATAAATGAAATGAATTAAACGCCACTGTTTATAATCACATCCTTGCAAAAGTGGCACTCTTGTTAATAAAATAAATTTGAAAATGTTGAACCACTGAAAAGGAGTTTTCACAAATTTCAATTGCCTTATCAAACAAAAGGCATCGCTTATGTTCATCATAACCATGTCTTTGACCTCACCCGAACTGCTTACCATGTTATAATACTTGTTTAATTTAATACACAAAAAATAGAATAACTTATATTGTATGTTCGTTGAAAAATTAATCTTTGTTATTTTTAATTAGTTCTAAATTATTAACTATAGTTTCGTATATCATTTAACCACATATTTATTATTTATATCAATAATCATTTAATTAATTTTAACCAAAACAAACTGCTCAAATATATCTGACATGAGTTTCAAATAATTTTTTGTTTTCATATTATTTTGCGTGCGTTTTAATTTCAAGTGGCTCAAGCTTTTAGTTGTTTTCTCAGTTTATTTGGTTTTCACTGTTTTAATTTTGTGTTAAAAAAACGAAAACAAACATTTTGTGTCTTTTGTGTTTCTTCTTCTTCTCGTTTTTTTCTGGTAAATAGAAATACTCTGATTGTTGTGTATTAACCCAAACCCTACTACTCCTACTCCAATTGAAAAAAGACAAGTTGTTGTTCATGATCCTCATGCCTATCGCTCCTGTATACACCCACCCACCCATACCATTAGATGCATAGTAGACTGACAGCATTGTAGCAAATCGACGACCAACAAACTTTTAATACCACATCCAAACCAATCAAACATCCCCCCACACACAAACAAACATGGTACATACCTATTAGTAGGCAACACGTACGTGTCCATACAATTTTGGAAGTGTTGTATAAAAAAAGATCAGCTTTAACCAACCAACCAACCTAAATGTAACTTTCTTTCTTTTCTTGTTTTTCTTTTTCTTTAATCCTTGTTCGATTTACTTTATATTGTGCAACTCAATTTTGGTTCATTTGTGTTGTGTACCGATTTCCAAAACAAAAATAAAAATAATTAAAAATATAAATACTGTGAACGAACACCTTGTAAATAAATGCCCTCACCACCTCACCATGACGACGATGACGACAAATGCAAAAAATAAAACACGATCCATGAACACACAATTTGTAAATACGTCGATAAAATTGGATCTACTAAAGTTGGCAACATCCGTTTGAGCAACAGTGCCGAATCGGTGCAGTATCCGGTGCGCAGACCCTCAACCAGACGCATACTTCTAGGCGCCAACATACCCCGGCAATATCCGTTGCGTTCTTCGTTGCGACGCCACAAAGAGAAACAGGTGGGCAACAACAGCAGCTGTACATCCTCCTCATCCTCGTCCAACAACAATGCACCGACAACAGTCAGCTCGAGACCTGTTTCGACAGCTGGAGGCTTTATGAGAGGCAGCAGTTCGAATTCCGATGCCCTGGCTGCAGGCAGTGAATGCTGCACATCCTCAATGGATTCTAATACCACAGCGACACTAACCTTTAAGGCTCCCCGAGTTTAAAGCGACTACTTCCCAAGCAAAGGAACAAACAAATAAACCAAACCAAAACATAGATGACCCCCGAAATTATAGTTTGTATATACCAGCAAACATACTCTTCTTATCAGTTTAGATTACTCTTCTATAAACTTCTAACGTATGGTATAAAAAAAAAAACAAAACAAAAAAAGTCTGATTTTAAGTTATATATATTTTTTAATTTTAAATAAAAAATAAACGGTAACAAAAATTATCTATTTAAGAAAGTATAGGAGGTTTATATAAAAACCTGTTGTGCGAAAAATAATACAAGGGTAAATTATTTTAGAAAATTGCCAAGAGAAACAGCCAAAAATGACTAACATATAGTGTGTAACAGTGAATCATATAACGCTTATTACGAAATTACATGAAATGAGGGCGAATATTTGAGCCTGTCTTTAACAAAAATGACCTTAAAGTTTAATATTAAATACTAGTCATTTGAATACTAAGATTTTGAGTGCATTTTCGATAAAAAATGTCTTATAACCTGAGTCTATTTGGCTGTAGCATTGTGTAATTTTCGAAATATGGTTTCTTCCGAATAGATTATAATTTAAATAATTTCCCCCTCCCCCTACTAAAATTAAGAAGAAACATCATTTGAATTGTGGACTTGTGACATAACATATTAATATCATATTTCACATCAGTTATTAAAATAAAATATATGAACTATATGCAACAAAAGGCAGCTAATAAAAAAATATTTAAAAATAAACCAAATATAATAATTGTCAAAAACCATAACAACAACACGTGAAACTAAATAAATGTTTGTTACTACAACTGCCACTAGCAGTGATTGTCTGTTCTTAAATTAAAGAAAACCGAAAGACTTTTTTTGATTAATTTTTTCATTACTTTGTTTTCCATTAATTATTTTTAGCATATCCTTAACTACACTACTACATTAACCGCAAAGCAACGGTATCAATTCTAAAACAATCCAAGAAGTAATTTATATAAACGAATTCCGAATATTTATATTTTTGAACGATATAAATATAAAATGTTGATTGAAACATATAATATATATTACGTTTCTATTTCAATTCCAATAAAAACGCATTTATTAGAAATTTGTTGTTTTCTTCTTTAATTCAATAAAATATAAAAGAACAAAAAAATATACGAAAATATAACTAGATTTGTAGTAAAAAAATACAAGAAATTCAATCCAATTCAGCATAATAGACTAAATGCTAAATAAATGTCGTTTAAATGTAAACCAAAAAAACTAAAACATATACAAATGCAAAAGAATAAATAAGCCATAAAACAGCATTTCAGGAGAAAGGCAATATTCAATTCTAATCCTGTGGAATGCAATGTGAAAAACACCCGCCGTCAAGTTGGTTGATTAAATTAAATGCATATTGTCGCAAATGTATGGCTATTGATTGTGTACGATAAATATACTAAAGTGGAATGATAATTATCATCGGTTATAATTTGTTGTACACAATCCATAGGCATTACATTCATAATCAAACATAAATGTTATATTTTTTAATATATCAAAATTATTCTTATTTATTCTATAATAAAATTGTTTGTAAATAAACCATTTGAAAGTATTTTTCGGAAAAAGAAAGAAAAAAAACTACTTCAAGAAAAATAAACACCAATAACATTTAGTTGTTATAAACAAATGCATATACATATATTAAACATAAAGTTCAAGGGTTTTTTTTTTTAATTTTGAAACAATACTTATTTTGGTTATAAGCATAATAAACATTGACAAAAATCCTCCACCAAATGTCGTGGACATCCAAAGAAGTGAAAATGTCGTCTTCTTTTGGAATATACATTTAAAATAACAATGGGTTGTTATTAATTTTTAACGTAGTTTTCTTTTATATTTTAAGCAGCAGTAAATTAATTATGTACTTCTTTTTTGTAATATATATTTAAAAGAAATATTTTTTATTATTATTATTATTAATTATTCATTATCTTCATTAAATAATAAATACTATTTACATATTATATACGTCTATGTCATCATAAATATATTTTATAATTATTATTAATAATACCAAAAAAAAATCATTATATTAGAAAAAAATACATTTGAAATTATATACATATATGATGGAAAGAAAATGAAAATAAATGTTAGAAAAAAACAAACATAAAAATTAAACAAAGTGTGTATGTTGATTTTCAGAAAGACAACAACAAGACTTTTTTCATAAGAAGGTGACTTATGACTTAATTTCTTCTGTAAAACGTCTTGGACTATGGTTCTGTTGTATGGGATCCTCATCAATATTCAATATATTCCGATAACATAAAATCATTGAAGTAGTGATCATACAGTGATTTCGTGTTGCTTTCTTACAGATTAATATTAATTCGATTGCGTACATTAAAAAGTAGAGGTATTATTTAGAACACTATGATGGTACTAAAAATATTAAATGGTAAACTACCTCAGATTTACTAATTTCATCTATTAGAATTAATATGTATCCCTTTTCGATCTATTATATATTTTCAACCATTAGATGTAGATTTTCATCGCATAAATAATACTATGTACTCTAATGTAGATTTTTGCATGAGTATAGACTAATGTATTTTTAAATGAGTAGTACAACTTAATAGCTAACTGGATATTGGAGTAGATTATGTAGCTGGATTTCTATTCCCTTCATATATTCCATCATGATGCGGATTATGGAGTGTAGGCGATCCCTACGAATCTAATGGTCTCCACCTTAGTAGGCAAGGGGAAACGTTCGATAAAGCTTAAGGGCACACACTTGTATACGATCTATATTTTTCCCATTGTATTCACGTATTCACAGTGTGAAGTGAATGCAATGAAACCTTACTATTGTTGTTTCAGTGCTTTCAATTCACACATTTATCACAATTTACAAGAATGAACACTTTATTTTTAACGATTGGTGTGATTCACAATGAAATAAAATAGGCACCTAATATATGTATGTTTCACATTATACATCGCTTTATTCAAATAAATAATTCCCAATGTGCACATTTAAATTACAAATATATATTTTCGAGAAACAAAGTGAATTTGAAATACATATTTCTAAAATTCCCTAAAATCTAAATATAAAAATGCTACATCATAATACTAGGCATTTGAGTTATAATATGTAAATGTATAATATATTGGCTCTGGCAATCTCAATTAGTAGGTACATGATCAGTGGGATTCCATAGCCAGTCGGGAGGATGGAGAAGAACAACATCAATTATGAACACACATTCTAAAAAGAAATTGAAACAATTTTTAAAAGATCATTCAAATTAATAATCAATGGTTTTTCAACTTACCAATTTATTTCTTTGTGTAGTTAAGTAGTTTGTCCACATGTATTTGTCTCGCCTCACAGCTATTGTTGTGGTAGACTGTATAGATTCTTGTCCACTAATATACCATTTTCAATAAGGAAACTTTCCACATCCGAAGGAAAGAAGTCATCGGACAGATCGTCTGTAACTCTTACGAAATTTCCAATTACCGCCTGTGCTTTATAGACCAACAGGGCTGGCAAACCCTTCTGACGAAAATCTCTACTCATTCCGGCCACTGAACTGCAAATCTTGGCAAACTTAATTGTGGGATATTCGGTGGCCAATGTGTCCAAACATTTGTTCAGTGTGGCACAGGCTGAAACAGATTTGTCATAAATGTGTATTATAATTGTGGTATGTTTGTTCTCCTTTTCGACACAGTTGAGGAACTCTTCGTGTGAATTCAGATTCAACACCTTGCCAAAGTTTTGACTATGACCACATTGACGCATCATCTCGGCCATACGTTGTTTCTGATACTGTTGCAGAAAGTCTTCGGACATTAGTTCAGCAAATTCAGCTTCCAGCTCCTCTTGTTTTTTGCGTTCTTCTTCCTCTTGGGCCGTGGCTGTTGTCATTGTCAACTTCTTGGCCAATTCGATGCGTTGTCTTTCGCTTTCTTCGCGACGTTCCGCCTGTAGTTGCTTGAAACGTTGCCAGTCTTCGACGACACCTTTGGGTCCAGTATTTGTGGAGCCCATTGAACGATACCCCGCCGAAGGTGGTGGAGGACAGACATCTGGATCGATGTATGCCTGGGGACCTTGAGCGGCACGGGCACCACCTTTTTCACCGGCCTCATCATCGTCCGGTTCATATTCACCTGGTTAAATAATGTGTACTATGTTTAACAAACTTCTAATTAAAAAATATATAAAATCACAAACCTTCACTACTTGAGCAGTAGTATTCGAGTTTTTCACCCATTAATTTATCCTCCAAGGTTGCCATGTTTAGCTGTTTAGCGATTGATGTTTAATGAAGTACTTTCAGTATTTTCTGCAGTTGCAAGTGAGCAATTGAAGTAAATAATAGTTAATTAAATTACGACTTTACACGGCGATATATATAGACACAAAACCACAACCAGATAAACCAGATAAACCAATCGAATTTAAAAATGTTCCATTTGCTAACGAATGGAAGAGAAGACAAAATGGCCGAGAAAGATGAATTCAAAATGGAATGGTATAACCGAAAGTTTACGAATGAGGTGGGATGGAGACTAAATGGAAACCGTGTTGTTTACGAATGAGGTTTAGACAAAAATGTCAAAAATGGAACGAAAGAAAATTTAAAAACGTTCCACCTGGTAACGAATGGAAGAGAAGACAAAATGGCCGATAAAGAAGAACTCAAAGAGATATAACGAAATATTTACGAATGAGGTGGAAGGAAGAATCCGGTTTGTTTGCACCCACGGACACTGGCCGTGTAAAAACGGCTTTTAACGTTTGCCGTGTTGCCTGATGTATATTGGTGATGAATGTAGCACAGTTGCCATATCACGACGTCGTGTTTAACGGAATTAGATTTTAAAAATAGAATTATTTTTCTATAGACTTGATATCCGAATAACATATTTCTTAAACAAATTCAAAAGGATAAAAATCATTATTTTTTTGCAAATTTTAACTGGAACACTTTACAGAGTAAACTTTTCCTGCAAAGTTTCAAAATGAACTCTTGCAAAAAAAGCCAAACCATCTCTTTTGCTCGGAATTTTCACATGCATCTTTTAAACGCAACACGGCAGTTGCTCTTTCCGATTTTCATTTGCATTTTCCCCTTTCCATTCGTCTTACCTCTCTCTAAAGAACTCAGCATAGTTGCAGTAGAATAGTATATAAACGCTGCATGTGTAAACCCTGAAGTTGTAAAAATACAAAATTTCGTAATACTAAATAAAAATACGGTGAGATCCCTTCCTGGATTTCTTTTCTGCTTCAATACCAAATCAAAGCGAGATTTTTCAATTAAACGTTAAACACGATTTTTATGGCCAATCGGCTCACATTGTTTCAACATCATAAATCTCTCAATAATGAAATGCAAATAATACTAGCACATATATTTTTTTCATTATGATCGATTAGTCCTTAGAATAGTTACAGATGAACGAAGGCAAGAGGGTCGTATATGTGATGGGATCATTTTCCTACTAGAAGATGGCAATACAGGCAATTTGTCGCAAAATTTTGCTCAGGTGCCAAAAACGGAAACATCAATTCCCGTACTAATTGTGTAGGGTATCATATGATCGGTACTACTACTTCTTACTAATTTCAATAATGATCATTGGCTATATTCATTAACAACAAATACCCTCTGTGCAGACGTTTTCACTTTAAACCGATTGGATCATAGAGAAATGTCACAAACACAAATTGTATATAGCCAATTTACCATCTGAAAATAAACATTTTCATGGAAATCGTAATGACAATTGGCTAATTGTCGTTTGTACAACAAGACATAAATATTTAAGAGTCGAATGAGTATCCATCACATCAAGGAATTCATTATTTTGTTTGTGTGTTTCAAGATCACAGTCATAGCCATACACATATCAATGAACACAAAAAAAGAAACTATATATTTTTTTATTTTAGTTTGAGTCTATTCCAATGGTCCACTGATGATAGCGTTTAACGTACAATGCGATGGTTAGGCTGTGACTGGGACAAAATACCGCCGCATATAATTAGCAAATACAAATCTCATTCTTGTTTTTGCAATGCTCATGTTATGGCCACTAGCCAATTCTAAAACTGTTGGGCTAAACAATCAAATACAACTATTCGTTTGGTTTTTGTAAAATAGTACATAGCAGCGCGCACATTTGCTGGCGTACTTCTCTTGAGTGAAGTACTTCTGTAGGTTTAGCGGAATCCTAAAAATTATTCTATTATATAATTAATTAAACAAGTGAAAGTGTCACAATAAAAAATATGAAACCCAATAAGAAAAAACCCAGAATACGCAATAGGCCACGGAATAAAGCCAATCGTTTATTGGCTTCACAAGAACAGCAACAACAACAGGATGAAGAAGATCAAATGCCCTCGGAGGAGATCCAAGAAACGGTAGAAAATTCAAATTTACCAACAGAAGGTGTTAGTGATGATGATGATATGCCCGATTTGGAAGATGATAGTAAACCACCTGAAATGCCTAGTGCGGAACCGGATGCTGTAACAACATTAACACGTATAATGCACGAGAAAATATTAAAAACTCCTGATAAGAATTCTAAAACCCCAACAACAACTGATAAACCGGTAACCGAAAGTGCAAAACAAAATGTTGAAAATGCCAAAGCGAATCAAAAATCAAAAGAAAAAACTAAAGAGAAAATAACGGACGCTAAAACTGAGAAAAATTCTTCTAAAAATGCAACAAAATCAAAAGCGACACCGGAAACATCATCACCGGCAGATCAAAATCCCAAAGGAAATCAAAAAGCGAAAGAGAAAGTTAAAGAGAATGTAGCCGAAGCTAAAACCGAGAAAAATGCATTTATACAGAATCTACAAAAGAAAATGGAAGCAATGATGTCTGATGGTGAGTGATGAATTTTGAATGTGGGAATTATGTCGAAAATTAAAAGCGATCTTGATTTAGAAAATTAAACTATTTGTTTTGTTAAAATGTTTTTTAAATGATATTGAAAATTAAATTATATATTCAAACCAATTTTTTGTTATGTATATTTACTAAATCTTGGGACTGAATAGTTCTTGTAATTACTTAAATACATACATAATATTGTTTAATTATAATTGAATTTAATTTTCCATTAAATACGAAAAAACATATATAACATATTAACATTAAATACTTTTTTTATTATATATTTCGTTTACAGTGTTACAAGTCTATATACACATAGTACTAAATCAAGATCTCTACAAAAATCAAATGTAAAAATAATTAATTAAAAAAATTATACTGATCTTTTAGGCGATGAAAATCTACCAAATACCTTAATGGAAAATCTTAAAAAGCTATTAGATCAAAAACCAATGACTGATATTGAATCTAGCGACGATGAAGAGGAATATGTTGAATACATTTATAAACCAAGAAAATATTTTCTTGTCGGTCTATGCAATGTATGTATGAAATGAAATTATGGCATGACGAAAATACATATTTCATGTTTTTCGTGTTTTTTTATTTCTTCGCCTTCCTTTCGTAGCTTTGTAAATGTGATTTATGCAAAATAGAGCAATTGATTGAATGTTCAAAATGCCGTATGACTTATTATTGTAACATCGATCACATGCAAAATGATGTGGAACATCGACAATTATGTTCAGCACTACAGCAGGTGGCAGCCAATGTTGATGGTAGGATAATTTTTTCCGCCACTAAGTCAGTATGGAAAAAAACTGATGAATACGTAAATATTGTTTTCCTTTAAGGTGGTCACATTTTCAGCAAATGCTCCGATATGTCACCCGATCAATTTCGTTCTTATCGCATTATTATGATACGAAAAGTGTCGGAAATTTTACAGAGACCTTTAACGGCCACCGAACAGGAAGTTATACTGTTTCCACGTCTGTGTATCAATGGCAAATGTCGTAAATATGAAGCATTAACAGATTGTCCCAATTGTGGCATGGTGGCATATTGTTCGGAACCATTGCATCTGGTTAGCGAACATGAAAAGTGGTGTAAATTCTATCAACTTTTTAAGGAGTTGGTAATGCAACAGGAGAAATTTGGACGTTTAGATCCATCGCTGCCAAGTAAAATATTAAAGGATACACCTTTGGTATGCAACACCACCAGGGAGATTTTCAAAAAATTAAATATGGGTAATGAAAACACGCCGATATGTACATATATTTTCCGTTTTTAATTTCCAATCTCTTTTCAAACAGATTTACCCGAAAACAGTTGTGAATATGCGGCCTTAACACAGATTTCAACGGCTCCTCTAACCGCTTGGTATGCTCTAAAATTAACACAACAACTGAATAGGCTTGAGGAACTTACAATACACTTGATAGGTTGGTATCCAACACCAAACAGAACACCTTAAATATTATAATGATTCCGGCCCTTTCAATTAGGTGCTGAAATTGAGTTTGAAGTTGATATTTTACACAAATGGGAATTGTTTTTCTTGCACATTACACCGATGGTAAAAACGTTAAATGTGGTATTTGTGGGGCCTGAATTAAATCCCAATAATATATCTTTTGAACAACTACAGAAAACAAAGTAATTTATAGACAATTTTTAGAACAATATTTATAACCTCTATATCCCCGTAGGTGCTGTAAAGTGTGCCAAAAAAATCAACGCACAGTAAAATATTTCTTTGAGGCAAATATCTATCACGATTACTGTCGTTCCAAAAGATTTTTAAACCCGAATTTAAGTAAGTGGGCATTTTGTTTCCGAACCCCCCTCCCCCTTATTCTCATTTCTGTCTACTCCTCTTTTCACAGTTTGTTTCTTTAATGCTGGCCTATATCGTTCCACTGGCTTCAACATGGAAGACACCTGGCCCGAAACAATAAACGCCGCCGCTAACCTCAATGTGCCCATAGTTGTTACCGCCTATACCGAGTATGAATCCCCATTGGATTTAGAACGGTTCCTGGAGGAGGGTGGTCGTGAAATGAAAATGTTGGAAAAACCTTCGGAAAATCTATTTTCTTCTGTTAAGCCCGAAAGAAATTTCATATCGGACGATGAGGCCCCATTTATGTTTAAGAATTACTACAGCTTTGTTTTACGATAAAATTTGTAAAGACACTTTTTATTAATTATATTCAAAAAATAATTTTTTTTATTATTTACTACATATGTATGTTCTTAAAATGTATATCATCTACATAGGCTTTTCTACGACTTGGCCTCGGCCATTTTAGCGATACGTATATCCACAGGATTACGTAATTTACGTGCTGGCTTGACCAGCTCACTTTCATCCATGGGTTCGATAATTTTACCTTTCTGTGTTATGACCGATGGACGTGTAAGCAAACGGAAGGCGGTTTCAGTTACAAAGTTGCGTCCCAACGGCGCTCTTATACTGGCCTCATAATCTTTCAGGGAGGTGAATGGGAAGGGTACATCAGATACCAGGTGATTTCTTAGTTTCTTGTTGACATTTTCATTTATGTACACACCATCTTTGTTTTCATCTTTTCGTTTTTCTTCGGGAGCCAGTTTAAGCAGCAGGCGTTTGTTTCTCCTTTCCATTTGTTCTTTAGAAATGCCTGCTCCAGCCCATGAACCCCAGCCGGGCATTGACAGTTGAATTTCTGCATCTTTCAGTTCGGAATCTTTTGTTTTGTCGCGACTGAAGTCGGCAATGATGTCATCATCCTCAAAGGCCTGGGCAATTGTCATTTGTTGGTCGGCATTGGGATCTTCATCCTCGTCGTCCATATCAACATCACCCATTGCTTCGCTGACTGTACCGAAACCAATTCCATGCTGTTTCAGTTTTACTGTTGCCAATTTATTGGGATCTATTGTGTCTGTTGTTGTAGTGGCGGTCTTGTCCTTTGACTCGGTGGCATCATCATTGGTCTTTGTAGACATTGCTTTGTCCAATGTTTCATTTAATTTGACAGTTGCATCACCCTCCTCTTCATCCAGTTCGTTTTTCAACTCTTCATCAATTTCAGGACGTGATGCTTTGGTCTTGAAGGACAAATCCTTCAAGTTCTTCAATGGATCGTGTCCCTTGGAATATTTCTTTTTGTCCTTTCTGCTCTCCTTTATCTGTTTACCCTTTTCATTTATTATTTCTAATTTCTTTTGTAATTTTTCTCTAATTTTATCTTCTTGGGCATCGAAAATATCGTCAATGGATTTGACAGCAGCAGGATCAATTTCTTCCACTAACCAGCCATTCTCTAGTTTCTGATTTTTATTAGATTTAGTAGTGGTCTTCTTTTCGACTTGCTTTCTCTTTAGTGTTTTAGCAGTTTGTTTTTTAGTTTCTTCCTTTTGTTCTACTTTTGGTACATCGACGCTTTCGTGTTCACTCTCATTTTCGTCATCATCGTTCTTCTGTGCCGTTTCCTCATCATTGTCGGAACCATCTTCATTTTTAGATTCATCCTCTTCCTGTTCTTCATTTAGAAGGCGTTTGTACTCCTCCAGCATTTTTTCGTTGTCGTTGCGCTCAAGCCAGTATTTACGCCAATTCGGTTGCTCCTGTTCACTTGGAGTTGCCTTATCTTTTTTGCCTACAGTGGTCCATGGATTGAAAGGATCATATTCGGGATCATCTTCATCTACATCGTCCTTCTTTTCCTCTTTCATTTCCTCGTCGGAATCTTCATCTTTGACCTTCTGAGTCAATTCTCTGCTGATTTGTAACTGTTCTGACAAATCCTTGCGCACGTCTTTATCGTATTTGGCTCGAATTTGTAAATTCTTTGCCCAAGTACCAGTATTTTTATGTCTCAGACTGGCTCTTTCCAGTACCCTGGATTTCTCCAAAGCATTTAGTTTTTCCATTGCAGCCTCTGGATTGGTTTTTTGTAACAACTCAAACTGTTTGATTTGATCCTGCATTTTCTGCTTCTTCAGCAGTTTGTGGTATTTTTTGGATTTGATTTTCTTTTGCAGGCGAGCCTTTACAGATTTTTGAGCTTCACGCATTTTCAGGTAAGCCAACTCCTTGCGTTTGGCTATCAATTCTTCTTTTGTTAATTTCTTCTGCAATAGCTGTTGCTCTTGTTTCTCCAACTCGGCGGGATCATGAGTATCGCCCAAGTGTTCACGTTTCATTTTGGCGTATTTATTTTCCAATTCTTCCATTTGCAACATCAAATCAGTTTTAACACTTTGCTCCAGGGGTTTACGATTTAGGGAAGTGTTGACATAGACAGTTTCCGATTTCAAGGGGAATACCTAGATGAAAAGAAGAGGATATTGAAGGGATTGTTGGTGGAATTCTATTTGATATCATACCTGTGTCTCGGCCGATCTGTTTGATGCCACCACTGCATCCCATTTGGCCAGCTTTGCTTTGACATTCTCATAACCAATGGTTCGCTTGATACGCTCCGCAGCTGGCTTCTCCAAAGGTTTCTCCAACACCTTCTTTGTGGTTACAGTTTTCTTGAGTTCCTTTCCCGTTTCCAATAGTTTTTTGTTGCCCTTTAAAACCTCCACCAAATCATTGATAGCCACGGGCTGTGCCTTGGGTTTGGACACAACAGCCGAACCCTTGACCAACTGAAATTCATCTTGCACTAATTTCGGTTCATCACGTGTTGATTTTCGTATATGTTGGCTCTTTCCCAAACTGCTGATAGCCTGCAGCAGTTGTTTGTGGGATTTGGGATTGACTTGTTCCTCGTCGTCACTCATGATTTCGTTGGTGAATTAAAAATATAAATTTATTAAAATCGGCTTCAGCTGCAACCACGTTCGCACGTTTATTTCATTGACAGTTCTCAAATGTGTTTGTTGACAATCTCCAGTCAGTCTCTCGTGAGAGAAGGAATGAAATGCGTTTGTCGTGTCGAACACAATAAAGTCGCCGAGCACATTGCATTATGGAACGTTTTTAAATTAGGTTGGTTTTTTGGTTAGTTTTCGGAATATTCTTATACGTCATATATATTTAATATTTATTTTTATACATCATATATATTTTTCATTCCACCGATTTGTTTCATTGAAACATTTTATATTTACTGGATGTATCAATGAAAGTTCCTTTACTCCATACAATTCATTTGCTCCATATAGTTCCTTTGCTTCAAATAGTTCAAAAAAGGAACTGGATCAGAAAAAGGAACTATATTAATTAAAGAGCTGGAACTAGTTCCGATCGTTCCTTTATCGGAATAGTTCCAATAGTTCGTTCTAGTTTTGCAAACGTGACAAACGGATTGTTTCGCTAAAAAAAGTGAGAAAATATAAAAAATTATCTATTTAAAAGTAAAAAGATGTATGAATTAAAAACTTTGCTACCACAATTCGACATAAACGTGCCAAAGTGCATGTACGAAATGAAGAACTTGAACACAGCCGTAGTTGCGGAGAAGGGCTGCCCCAAAAAAGTCACCGAGGTAAGAATATGAATTGGACAATTCGAGATGCTTGATTGTTCTTGCACACACTCCTCTGTACTAATAAGAATTTCTGTTGCCACATCAAGTGAAGTTGTTCTGCAGTAGATTCTTAATTCATTTCATTCAATCTCATGTAGCAATTGTTGCAATTTCCATAAAATATTACTTCACGCTTTCGTAAGTCCATTTTAGGTCATAATTTTCTTCTTCTATTTCTATAACAATCATATTAATCATCTCATGTTTGTACCATTCTTGAAGGGCTTCTTGAAATTCTTTGGTGCGACCACAGCGGCAACCACTGGCACTGTTAGCACGTGTTGTCCCCTTGATTTGGATAAATTGGGTGCTCAAATACAACAGATTATCAAGGTTACTTTATGGAAATTATTATAATTATTGTATGATCTCACTAACCCAACAGCAGCAGCAGTATAACGTCCTAATAATGCACTCATTCTATATGGAACTGTCTAGTGTCCACTTAGAAGACGCGACATTTTACCATAACCTTCAAGTAGAACTATTAGGCTAACATTCTAACCGGCCCCAGGACATTGGGTGGTGGTGGAGCATTACTAATACGAATATGCACCATTATGTTTTTCGTCCGTACAGAAGGTACAAGGGGATGTCTTACTACATAGCTTAACACAAATAACATCATTAGCTCTGTTAATAACATAATTTCTCTACGCTCCATTCCATGTTAATGTCATTTACAAAGCACTAATTCTCTTGTCCGTTCCATTCATTATGCTTTCACTCACCACACACAGACACTAAATTTGTGCCTGCCGCCTCTGTTGCTCATTTCTTGCCAGTAGTCTTTCATCAAGTGTTCAGTGTGTGTCAATAGTTTTTGTTAGCCGTTTTCATTGCTCTAGAATATAGATAGCTAAAGAGAAATGAGTTTGGAGGTCTATTGGTGCTTTACATTTCATTTGCTGAAAACTAACCTCAAAATGTTCTCATATTTTTATTTTCTGTCTTAAATTTATTTCAATTTTTGTTTATTTCGCCCCCACCCGTAAAAAGGTCTCTGGTGGTGATGCTCAAACGGTGGTTAAACGCCAAGAGAAGGTGATGCTTCAATTGGAAGAACTGAAGAAACAGTTGGCCGGAATCCGTTCAACATTGGGTTTGTGTCAAAAAGGTATTCAGGCAACTAGCTATATATCCAACAACAATGGTGGACTAAGAGAGGTAGGTTTCCATTACAATGTGGAAGCAATGTTTTAATAAAAATTCAAATTTCAGGAACCATTGCATGATATTGTGATAAATGGACATCCCAATTTTATACCCTATGCCCTACTTGCCATGAAAAATGCCTGGAAGGATTTGTTTACCATTGATGTGAAAACCTTTACCCATTCCACAATGAACGACATTGGCAAAGAGGCTAAAGCATTTGAACAGGCCCTAAAGAGTGTGAAAGTAAATCCCGATAAACCCAAAGTGAATGTCACGCTGATATGGAAAAATTGTAAGTAGTCCTCGGATCCAATTACCAATAGTCAGTATAGGCAGCGTTATCTCTCTTTTACAGGTGAACACACAGAAATGATCAGCTCTCCCACCATGTATGTTCCCATTTATGGCGAAGTGAATATTATTCGCTATTTGGGACGTGTTGGTCCCGCCGAGTACCGCTATGAAAATTCTCCCCTCTGCAATGAAATTGATGTTGTGCTGGACATTTGCTATCAATTGTTGCGTTGCAATACCCCCAAGGCCCGAGCCAATATTATTCGCCTGCTAAATAATCGCCTACAAAAACAACAATATTTCGGTGGTGACAAAATGTCCATCGCCGATATTGGCGTTCACAGTTCCTTGCGTCGTATGCCTGCTATAACTGATAAAGATTTAACTCCCGCCCTGCTGGAATGGCGTAAACGTGCCGCTAAATTTACTTTGATTTAAGAAATGAAAATTTGCACTCTCAAAACACACACAAACACAATTTAGTTTAAGAATACAAGTACGAAGCCGAGAAATAAGCAAATTCAAATTGACGAAAATAAATGCAATCTTACCAAGTTCGTGCCCCTCCCCAAGGTAAGGAAGAAAACGTAGGCATTTTGGTAATATTACAAAAAAACATATTTTCTTTATTCTTTGAAAATCAATTTTAAATCTACAACTAGTCTAATGTTGTGAGTTTCTCACGTTTATTATCATCGATATTTCATATATATTTGTTCAGTCTAAGTAATGTTAAAAAAAAAACGAAACGAAAAGAAAAAACGCAAGTTTGTTTAACAGTTCAAACTTCCTATACTGTTACTCAACGTTAAGATATACGGAAGCATATTGTCAATTTGCACTTGGCCCACCAAATTTGAAAAGAACAACTCTTCGACTGCTTCCGACTCTAAGGCACTCAACGGCATAAGGTTGAGAACGATGTTGTTAAAACGTTCGTCCGCTTCGTATGCGGGTATTTCCTGTGACATTATCAATTTTCTTAGACTAGTGAGGCTGTACTGCTGCACGCGTTGTACAAACGAGCGTACGTTTTGATCTTTACGTTTCACGAAACAGTGGGCATTGAATAGACAGGCTAGACGCAGTAAAGCATATTCCATATCACTGCACTCCAGAGATTGGATATTTTGAATGAAGGAATTGAGACGAGCTATGTGTTCACTTAGCTTCTTTATCTTTTGTGGCTCCATTTTCTCGTTGGCCATTTGACGAACATTGGTGATCAAGGTACTAATGATGGTACGCTGTGATAGATTTTGAACCTGGGCCACACTAATTGCCAACAATGCCGGCCAGGCGGATCGTAGTAATGTTATCTGAGCACGTTGTGTCAACTCCATGAAAGCTGGTACTTTGCGAAGCCATACGATTGTAAGGAATATAATACGCGAGCCCGATTCACAAACATAGTGGACATTAAAGTACGAGGATACCAATGCTGGTGTCTGCAAATTGAAGCTGGCATAGCTGGGGGATATTAACTCATTTTCAAATACTGCTTCGTTGGCCATAAATTCACCACCACCTCCTCCATCATCCATATCCATAGCGTCATTGAAGTCGTCTTCGTTGCTACTTTGATCACCCATCTCATCGTCTTCGTTGAGTTCATTTTTTATTGAGAGTCCATTTCCACCTGTTGGCATATTGTCTAGCTGTTGTTTTATCGGCTGCAGTAGTTGCAAGGCTTTCTCAATGACCCTTTTGTCTAGGGCTGTTTGTATGAAGCCAACTGTTGCAGGATTTGGTGTCAAGGCGTCTAGGTTGAAATTAATGTTTTGATTGTTGTTGTTTGAGAGATTTTGCAAGCACATTGTGGTGGTGTTGTCGAAGGCATCATCTTCATCGTCGTCATTGTCATCTAGTTGATGTTTTGGTTCTGGTGAAAAACTTGTGTGCTTGTTGGAACTGGTTGAGGATTGACTGGATAACTGTTGTTGTTGCTGTTGAACTTGTTGCTGCTGCTGTTGTTGTTGTTGTGTTGCCAGCACTAAGAGAGAAGGTTAGAAAGAGTTGAATATTATTTCAATAGGAGGGGTTACTTACTTAAAGTCTGAGTCAGTTCTGCAAAGTTCAGACCCATTGGAAATATTCCAGCTGCTGCTGATGAAGAAAAAGCCGCTGCTGCTGCTGCATTTGATGCCGCAGCAGCTGCATTCAAATTGTGATTGAACAGGGGCGATAATTTCGATCTCTGATGGAATTGAGGACTAGAATTTGATTTCATTGTCGATGTAGCAGAGCCACTTCCACCCGCAGCCACTGATAACCCTTGCACAGCTTGGCTGGTGGACGCCGATGACATAGGGTCCTTTTTGTCTATGATAGGCTTTCGTTCATGTTGTACAGCTACAAGTTTAGTTTTTGACATAAATTAAAAGAGAAATAAATTTGTTTTTAAAAAACTTGAAAGCAACAGGTATTTCCTAATGAAGAAATGATCATGCATTGAAACTGGATTGTCGCAAATTTTGCTGACATTAACATAAATTCAATTCCCGTTTATGTGGATGTATGTATTGTATATGGTTTTGAGTATAATGATTTTGAAACAGATGAACTGATGTGATGATTGGGTAGGTTGTATAGCCAAAAGGAGGGGTGTAAGGTTAGTCATAGCCAAATGTGTGTTTTTTTTCTTTTTGAAATTGTGTTAGGATGTTTGTCGACATTATTAAATGAAAATTACAATCACTTCTCATGCCGCTGGCCAAACATTTCTGCAATCTGCAGAACTGGCAACGATTACGATGGTGCTTGGTGACCTCGCAGTTCATTGCTCCGCGACACTGGTAGCCCAATTGCTTGCGTATCGATCGCTTGAAGAATCCCTTACATCCCTCACAACTGATGGCTCCATAATGTCGTCCCGAGGCTCTGTCACCGCAAACCAGACACAATTCCACGTTCATGTTGGTGGGCACTGTTGTCGAAGTACCGCCAGCTACCGAACCAGTGCCAACTCCATGAGTTGACGTGGGATGATTCACAAAATACTTTTCTGCAAAGAAGAACAGAACAACGATAACAGGTAGCAGTGAGTAGTTAGTTCTAAGAATGTGTAAAGTAACACGAATGTGACTACAATATAATAGCCTTGAGCCTCACCTTCAGCTTGAAAACCACTTGTGCCCATTGTCGGAGCTTTATAATGTCGCCCCGTCACACACCTTTTGCTCTGTCCCCTCACTCTTTTGGTTGCTTTGTTCAGGTTGTGGGCAAGATACTTCTTACTCGTACGTATTTTGTATTCTTCCTCTCTCCACGCTGTGTTTTCTGCTGTTGTTGCTCTATAAAAATTCTTGACCTTTTTCGCTTCCCCTCTCTGTTCCACCGCACAACTTAAATCCTATGCAGGCAGGCAGGCAGGCAAGAGTAAAGCCAGAAGCACTTGTTTTCTAGTTCAGTACGTACATCACTTGAGCACACTAGAAGCTCTAGCGTACACTAACTACTTCTTTTCTAACTAGACACACACATACACACACGCGCTCACTCTCACACGGACACGAGTCTTGAAAACAATACAAAAAATTGTTGCTTCACTTGGTCTTGGGTTTTTGATGTTATTTGCTTTGCTTTTGTGTGTCTCTTTTTTCATTAGCGCTTCTGTTGCTGTTGTTCACTTTTAACTCGAGGTCAATCACTTGTTTGTTCACCAAAAAAAGGCTGATGATGCACCACCACCTCTCAGCTGTGGATAATAGATAAATAGGAATTATCTATGTAGTTATTTGAGAATAATTCATTTAGTTGATATTTATTTTGAATTGTATTTGTTGGAGTTGTCGTTTAAGAACCTAACAACACAAATTTACCTCTTCTAATAAGATGGATTGATTAGAATTTATTTTTCTGCTCGCAAAGTTTCAGAGCTTGTGAGAAACTATTGTAGCGGCGTTGCTGTTGATAGAGTGGGCAAAGTGTTTTCAATGAAATGCAACTCAGTGGCCGTTATTACATGGTGTTTGGCCGTTGATATTGTGTTCAGAGTTAAATTCATCGGTAGATGGCGTTGCTTTAAAACTCTTATTGGGAAACGGGTAAATGATTGGGATTTTAATGTGAAATTATCATTCTTTGGAAAAATTTAGGTGATATGACCCTGCAGTTTAGGCTACCTTCTAAATTCTGTGTGGGTTTTGTTTTCCAATGAAATTCTGCAGAATCCTTTTCTCAACAGTTAACCCATATATTGCCAGAGGTTTTTCTTCGGAAACCGAACGAATGACATCAGCCAGAATCAGCATCGATTTTAAAGGTTGGAAATTCGTCCTCTCTGCCGGGACTTTCTTCGACGTAATCGAGAGGCTTTCCGACTGGATGCTGCTAATTTCAGGTCCTTATCTATTTTACAATTGGTTGTGTTTGATATTTGGTCCCCGGAGGACTTTGGAGACGGCATTGTTATTGTGAGCACTTCCAGCTTCGCGAATTTAGTTGATTATTTGGAATTACTGAGTAACCGTTTCACTGTCATAGCCTTGGTTGTAAATTTTATAGGAACTTGAGGTTCTTCTTGATTAGATGGGAGACCTTGTCAGCAATAATGTTCGCGTCCCTGTTAGAAACCGTCTTATCTTTGGTCGACTTTGGTAGCTGATGGTACTAAAAAAGTATTCATTTTAAAAGCATTAAGAATCATTTAGTTTAGGGCGGGTATTAGCTATACCACAATCTTTCGGATACAGTCAATATCGTGACTGCTATCTTTAAATTACTAATTTATAATTATTTCTGCATTGAAAAGTACGCTGGAAAATCCTTTCGTACAGTTTAATTTCTTGTTCTATTTAAGAATATATCAATGTTGCAAGTCAATATGCAACATTCATTTGGCCTATTTAACAACGTGTTTGGGTCTCATGTGTGTGTGGCAGCCAATCAACCGTCAAATAAAATACAATTAAAATTTTATGCGTCAATGATTCACAATTAAATGTGACCTCTGCGAATTTTAAAAAGGAATACATTTGGAATATTTTTTGAACTCTGACAAATATAAATTTTAAATTTTGATAAGCTTTTAAAATAAGTACAAATTTTATATCGGATGGCCATAATTTTTTTTTTTTACAATCGATGTAATAAATAAAAAATTCACTTGTCAAACATATTTCAATTGACAAAAATCAACTTATAGCGGAAAATGGCCGTGCGACAATGTCCATGGAATACTAAAATGAGTGTGTCGGTCTGTCTGTCAGTCATCATAATTGTTCAACAGGACATACACTGACTCACTCACACAAAAACAAACTCGGCCATTTTTTTACATCACATGTTTAAGTGGTTAAGAGAGGACATCAAATTGATAAAAACAATTTTGCCACAGGAATTCTCAAAAAAAAATCGAGTGAACAATTTCATGTGTGTGCAAGTTATTTAAAACACGTGTGACTGCCCAGGAACAAGGACAAAGGTGATTGTGTGAACTTTGATATTCTGGTCACTTGCGGAAGAACTCGTTTTTTTTAGGGAAACAAGAAGCACACATCATTATGGCTCGCATGACATGTGTCGTTTTTGTCAAATGTTTTAAATAGCTTGTGATAGATTATTGAGGAAATTTGATGTCAAAGATAGTTAAATATACTTATTTCTTTAGATCGATTTTTTAATATACTTTATAATAGAAAATATTTTGACAAATTAATTTTATTTCTATATTTGAAAAAAAATTAATTAGTGTTATTAATTTAATTTAATTTATTTTATTAAATTATAATTAGTATTAAATGAGGTTTTATATATTTTATATTCATCTAGTTTAACATTATTTTTCACTGTCCAAGTTACGTTTTTTATATTTTTGTTGACAAGGAAACGGAAGTGAGAGAAATGTGTTGCGTTGGTAAATGCCATCAAGCCTCTGTATAAACTGATGGCATTTTTTTTAAAAAAGGTGCAGCAGCCACGCTACATAATGACACACAACTAGAGTATTTAATATGCAAAACACATTGTTTAACTGAACTTCACTTTGACTGCCAAGCTGACGACTCTGGCGGACATTGATTTCAGGTGGTTGTTATGGTGATTTCTTTTGGCTTGTTTTTTTGTTTGGTTCGCTCTGTTTCCTCTTTTGTGTGTGTGTGTGTTTTGCACATCCTGACGTGAACTGGCCATTGCTGCCTATTGTTCCCAAAGAGTAATCATGAAATGTAACAACAACGACAACAACAAAAAATTAGTGTTGAAAAAAAAAACAGCAATGAACACAATTGAATTTTGTAATGTCGTTTTGTTGTAGTTATTACCCGTGTTATTGTTGGTGTTGTCATTGCTGTGGATGATGACTTCTTAACCACTTTGGTTAGTGTTCTCCTTTGTTTGTCATTTGTTTTGTTATATTCCGTGAGCTATTGACCCTTGATTACGTTTTGGAAACAGTACAGTGTTGGTCACGTAATTAGATCACCTGGCGAAGTTAGATAATTTTTTTTATTAGGCCTTTAAAGGTTTGGAATATTTATGTACATATTTTAATTTCTCTTTGTAAAACCTCCAAATATTACCCGTAAACCACATAAGATATATATTTTGGTTAAGGATAAAATTCTATTTCGATTTAGCCACGTTAGTCTGTCCGCTGAAATCATGATAGAGCTCACAATAGTTAAGAGAGAAAGAGAGAGAGCTTTGAAATTTTGATCATACATTGCTACAAATCGTAGGATGTTTGGCACTGGAAATATACGCACGTTTTGGTATGGCCCCCATATGACAATGCCTCCCAATATTCGGGTTTTTGGGGATTCTGTTCACGTTTTTCAACCGAGTAGACTATTATTGGTCTACTTTTTAGGGTAGTCCCTATATAACGGTTCCTACCGAAATTCGAGATTTTGGAGACTTTAGGCAACCTTTTCTACGAAATTGCCTGTAATATGATATTTTTGTTTCTCATTGGGTGATTTACAACTCATATTGCGGAAGGAGTTGCCAGATCGAAACAAAATTTAACATGTGTTCATAACAGAGATGGAAGTTTCCAAAACTTACCTTTTTCTGTTTATAACGCGATTTTTGTGCTAGGCTAAGAACTTTCCGAACTGCCTTCGTATGTTCTTCAGAAGTAAATATATACCCCATAGAATGCAAAATCTGCCGTTTTACGCGCAAAAGTTAGGGTTCGTTTCATCCGCAGGCACGTTTATTATTTGGTCTTATCTCCTTCTCCATGCAAAATTTCGCGATTTTTGGGTCATAACAGTGGCAAAAATAAAGTTCTTGGTCAATTTCATCCCCGAAATATTAACGGAATAGGGGTCTTCTTTGGTTAAAACCCATTCCTCTATGCAAAATTTTGTGACGATTGGCCAATAACTGTGGTCTGTATAATTTTAAAAATTAGAATGGACAAACGGACGGGTACACATGTCTTAGATCGACTCAACTAGTTAAGATGTGACGATCGGTATACATAAAGGTAGGACCAAAGCTTTACAAATTATTGGGGCTGCACAAAGCTATAATACCCAGACAACATAGTTGTGTATAGTATAATTACAAAATCCGCAGTATTTTCGAAAGACAATTTTCTCTTCTATAAAAAATATCATCCCCACACCTTTTTGAAAAAATGCCACCAGCAAACATAAAACGATAACCATAAAGTGGTAAAGAATTTCCCTCAAAAAAGAACAAAAGTCTTTATAATGGGATTACATGGCACAAAGTGTAGCACCAAGACAGCGATACTTGTGATGCGAAAAAGATACTTATAATTATGACACAAGAAGAGGAAAAAACAACAACAGAAAAAAAGAGCAACAAAAAATGTTTATTAGCTACTTAAATGTAGATTTTGTGGTTATTTGTGCCGCACCACCTTTTTTTGTGTAACAAGAAGATAGAGAGGGTGCGAAAAAAACAACCAAAATCTGAGACTAAAAAACAAATGCCACAAAAAAAATCATAATTTCTTTTAAGCGTAGGCAACACCTATCACCAACCCCTGGTATTTATTTCTTTCCCCTCTCCCTTACTAAGCCTCATCATCATCATGTGTTTTGTTATTTCTTGTTTGTTTTTTTTGTTGCTTGTAATTTTATTAAATATTGTTTTGCAAATCCTGACAATAAACGACGCTTACGGTTTTTTCTGTGTGTGCCGTTTTCCTTCTTCTTTTTTTTTGCTATACCTTTACGCATATGGGACACAATTAGCAGTTGCCTATGGATGAATTCACATATATTGCCTTTAGAGAT